AAAAGTATTAAATAGTTTCTCAACGCCAATATTTGAAAAGTTTATATGAACATTGTACTGACCTTTTAATTTCGCCGGCAGTAAACTATAAATGTGACATTTGACGGTGACCCACAGATTCCCCTATTTATAGATGGCGCTCTATACAAATTTTTGACTTAAATTATTTTAAGATAATAATAAGTATTTGTCGTAGAAAAAGTATAGTATGCACCTCGTTTATAAACTTTTCTATACACTCATTAATTTAAGCACTCGTTCGCAAGCTCTCTCGTATCTAAATTAAATTCGTGTATAAAGTGGCGTTTATCAAACTTGATACGTAATATACCTACTATTTTGAAATTCCGCATTGTGTTCAAGTTATTTAAGTTCATTTTAAGTCGAATTGTCTTTGCTGTTTTTCGATCAGACGCACCATTAATTAGTTATTAATAAAATAAAGTAGCTAATCACAGGCTTGTTTTAGCAGAATGATTAGAGGTGGGAGAACTATAATGTGCAGCTTAATATTAGAAATTCTATACAAAATCGTAATGTAAAATGACCCAGGGCCATATTACCCATTAGGCAGGCAAGGCAATTGCCTTAGGCGCCACGAAGAAATAGGCGCATTGTCCCCAACCAACTAAAAAATAAAAATTCTCAAAAATAAAAAAAAACATTATACAATTATGAAAATAATATATTCTTTACTGTTTTTATTATTTTATAAAAATATGGCGTGCTTTGTAATAACGCGGTGTAAAGCCGACAAAACACAAAAGCTTGCCGCAAATTCACTTTTTCAAGGTGTTTTTTAATATTTGGTAGTTTTTGGTTTAGTTTACCCTTTTTTAACTACTTTTTAACTATTAAGGGCCGGTTTATCAATATCTGGTTTAGTTCCAGTTAGTCTTTCTGACAGTTAAATTCCATATCGATCGTTGTGAGAACAATGGTGCCTGATAACTAACTGCAACTTTAACTGGACATTTACACTTTTTATGAACATTATATTTATTATGTTTGTATGTTATTTATATTTTTAATAAACCTAGTTTTTGATAAAAAGTATTTTAATTCATACGGGATAATTTGGTTAGTAAGCTCGGGCGCCCTTAAGATAACAGATTGAGGTGTATCTGATAAGCTTTTCTAAAATTTGCCCTGGGCCCCGTAAGTATAGTATCTAATAATAGGCGCCAAATTTTAAGTGCCTAGGGCGCAGAATTGCCTTAAGCCGGCCCTGAAATGACCTTAATTATATGGTTGACATTGTTACTGTCAGTGTTTTAGTTTTTAGGTTAGTTTTAACTTGAGACATTATTTTTTTAGGGAAAATTGGTGGCCCTAATACAGATAAATAATCGTTTTAAACGTTGTGTTTCTCACAGAGGCGCTTGTAAGCCTAAAAGTGTTAAGAACAACCGTTTTACTCCTCTTTTGGTAAAAATAAATTTATTGGTTAACCTTATTCTATCAGGGCTGTCATTAAACTGTCAAATATCAATTTTAAGGTTAATTTACCATAACCCACGAATTTAAATTTGATAGTGTTGCAGTGATTTTTAGTATGCGCGAAACAAGATAAAACAGGGTTTGTTGTGTGGATTGTGATTATTACATTTTCATTCAAATATTTCTAATTAAATAATAATGTTAAAATTAATTATTATTAATAATTATTTTAACCCTTTTCCGCTGTCCTTGACTTTTGAGACACCCTGTATATTATTAATATTATTATGATTTAATTTTTGTCACCTGTTATGAAACACCCTGTATGACTATGACAGTTTTTAACTAAAAATTATTTTCTTAACGGATTTTGTAGATTAATATAAGATATTTTTTACATTTCTATAGATGTATACTTCTGTATATGTTTCGATAGTCGCTGCAAATATATATATACGCGGATGCTCTTTTACGCCTTGTACCGTTAACGAATGCAATTTCCGTTTGTGAATGCCCGACCTCATTAAAATTTTCTTCGTGGAACAAAACGGCTCTTCCAATAACTAACCTATCCTAATTCCGCCCGAATAATTAGAGACAATATTATAGTTTATTTTGATCGTATTTATACTAAACATACATTGTATTACTATTATTTTCTAAATAACACGATATAGTCGATATACCTACATATGTTTATACTTAAGTAATTTATTTATTCCCAAAATGCCCAAATAATAATTAAATTTGACTGGTTTGTCCAACTCGGTACCTATGTATATTTAAGTAAAAGAAATTGTAACAGTCATAAAAAAGCAAGTATTCAAACAATGAAATACACCCTAAACTTTAAAATGCAGAGGGAAGCCTTTCAAAATGCAAATACAAGAAATAAATCGTCGGAATTGTAAACAATGGTTGTAAACCTGTTTATAAGACGTCCCTTAATGTTTTGAGCTGTTAAAATCGTCCAAAGAAGTTGTTATTTGGTAATACAAAAAAAGAATTCCTACAATACATGACAATTTGAAAATTTATATTTATACCTAAATAACATCTTGCAGAATAACAGTGATTTAAATACAGTGCATGATAACCTATGATAAACTAATGGCAACAAAATTAATAAATTCGGAAAATACTTTTAACATACCACCCGAAAAAATATTAGATATACATACTTATTAGACTGGGCCAAAAATATCGACTATTTTTTTTTTAAAGTATATCGAAAATATTGTTTGGGGTGGCAAAAAAAAATTATGGTGAAAGTTTGAGTCCATAATATTAATATTGAGTTTAACAAAATTGACTTAAGAATATTTTTTGAAGAAAATTGAATGCTCTAAAAAAAGGTTTGAATGGAATTTCCCGTCAGATGAATCGTTTCCTTAAAATCATGCCTTAAAAATTGGTATAGTTTTACATCTTGATCTTTTAACTTTGGAATTTTGTAATTCATGTAAAAATTAGTACCCTGAAAAAAAACGATAAATATTCTTATGGGAAATAAAATGCTCTACAAAAAAGTCTTTTATCATTTTTGGCTAAATTCACTCCATCAAAAGTTATTCAAGGTTAAATTTGAAGTCAAAACGAACCTCTTAATATTAATATTATGGACTCAAACTTTGACCATAATTTTTTTTGTCACCCCAAACAATATTTTCGATATACTTAAAAAAAATGGTCGATTTTTTTGGCCCAGTCCAATACATATATAAATCATTCTGTTCCGGCCTAAACATTATAAATGCTTCACAACTTAGAGATACCACACTTATTACATTATTGATTGATTTTTTAAGTTTTAATTATTAACAAGTTTAAATACCTATAAGTATACTTAAGTTCGCTGAAAAAAGCTTGTAATCAATTTTCGTATGGTTGATTACATTAAGAGTGTTGCGAAGGACTTGCTAAGAGGATCTACTAACCAATTTAAAATAACAAAACATTGATATTTACAAAACAATCGCATTATTTCATAGGCAGACTAGGGGCCCGATTTTATTTTACCGCCCCGGGCCCCCGACGGGTTTAATCCAGTGGCGGCTGGTGGATTTTGGGTATACCAATATTTCAGTTATTAGACATGGGAACCACACTAAATTTATAATAGTTTATAATGACATTAAATAGACAAGTTCGGCGCAAACAGAATTTAAATTGAAGTTTGCGAAAAAAGTTAGTTTTTCCTGTCGCCTCACCCGCCTCCAGGCCCCCCTATTTGAGATAATTCAAATTAAAGTGGTGCAATTTATTATCTGCTATAATTTATCGACAAATTTAAAATTTTATTTAAAAAATCCAAATATTATATAAATTGAATTATCTTAAATGGGGGGGGGCTGGAAGCGGGTGAGGCGACAGGAAAAACTAACTTTTTTTCGCAAACTTCAATTTAAATTCTGTTTGCGCCGAACTTGTCTATTTAATGTCATTATAAACTCATATATATTTGGTGTGGGTCCCATGTCTAATAACTGAGATATTGGTATACATAAAATCCACCAGCCGCCACTGGTTTAATCCGCCACTGATTGTAACAAAACGCCAGTGTTGCCAACAGTTTATTGTGAAAAGTCTCAACCAAGCTCTTCAAAAGTCGCCAGAAATCGCTAAATTATTTGGCACTTAAAAATCGCCAGATGTCGCAAATTTAAAAAAAAAGAGAAAAAAAAGTGGTTGCAAAATTTTAAACAGAATTGATTTTTCATAAAGAAAGAATTTTAACGTGGTTGTAGTAAAGGACACTAGAAAATGGCATTATCTTATCATTACACAAAAATAATTAATAATTATAATTGTTAACAAATATTTTATTTAAATAACATAACACAAATTATAAAAAATCAAGTCATTCTAAAATAAGAAAAATAAATAAAATATATAAAAATAAATAATTCTTAAGGTCAATAAAAAAATTAAAAAAAAATTAGTTTATTAATAAATTTTCCTCGAAATTTTCAAGAAATTCAGTCGATTTTGCATCGTCATTAATATAAGCCTGCAAAGTGCCAAAATCCCTTAGGATTCTATCGGGTAAGGTATAGCTTTTACAGCACTTTTTCATTCTTCGAAGGCCAAATCGGATATGCAACAAATTATTTAGGAGTGGTAGCTTCATTCGATTTCGCAATTTTGTTTTAATAAGCGCCATGGCGCATTTGACTGAATACCCTCTCGATTTCGGCATTTGACAAAGGCAAGCATATGACTTTTTGCGCTAGGCAAACCAAATTTTTAAATGGATTTTCTCCACTTGAATCTTTATAGTTTGCTACTTCAGCCCAATATTTTTCATTATTTTTCATTATCAATGTTAAAATGTCGCCAACACAATGTGAAAAACGCTAGGTTTGAGACACGTCTCAAATCATAAAAAAATGTCTCAAATGGCTACCTCAAAACGCTAGATCTAGCGACAAAGTCGCTAAGTTGGCAACGCCGCAAAACGCCACTTGGACTCCAGTGTTGCCGCGTGTCACCGACAAACAAACTAATTGCCACCCACACCACGCACATCGCGGCTAAAGAACCGTTTTACTTGGTTGCAGGCAGCCAGCTGATCAAGAAAGACGAGCACGGCGCCTTGGTGCAGGCCTACGTAGACCGCGACGGCATCCAGTACAAGCACACCCACCTGGACCTCGGCGTGTTTCAGAACTCCTCCGCCCCCACCGTCGCCGCACCGCACCACCGAAACAGCGAGGGGGGGCCCCAAACGGCCGCGTCGCGAACCACACTCAGTCACGCGAATGACATGGAAGCGCAACATGCGCAACCGAGCAAAGAGAAGAATGTATCTTCGCGCGCGAAACTGGGCGGATTTTTTTCGCGCCTGGCCAGCTTCAGGTTCTCCAACAGGAAGGGGCAGCAGGAGAAGAGCAAGCTGAAGAAGAAGCAGGATGCGCCGAAACCCCAAGGTAAGCAGGCAACGGTGTTTATCTCGGCACGTGCGAATGTTTTTGTGTGCGGTTTTTGACAGTTGCAGTGTTTTTCTGCCGTTTGTTGTTGTGTGTTTTTAGTGATGGGTACCTGCAAGGATTTAACTACGAATAACTATACCGTAACAACAACGATTTTAATACATATGGGTTGGGTTTTATTACCATAATTAAAACCGATGTAATAAACTCAAATTAAGTGTTAAAATGTTTAACGCTTTCTTTTCAAAACCTCGCTTGGTTTTAAAAAAGGCACGGTGCTGTTCTGAGAGGTGATTTTTGGACTTTCTGTGAAACCGAATTTTTTTATATTCTTGTTAATTAGGTCATAACTAAAATTTTAAGAGCAAAATAAAAAAAAACTGACGGTTTGAATTGTTTTAATTGGCTGTTTATTTAAAATATTATGCACTCTTTCAATTATCCAATTAAAACCAGCGATTTAATTTAAATATTTAATATTTGCATAACTAAAAAAAAAGGTTTTTACAATTTTTTTTATACATTTTACTGTTTTGTTGCAATAAACGTTCAAACTTCTAATCTAACCTTTGACGTATACATTTATGTTCCCTTAATTAATATATCCTTAAAGGTTGCCATGAAACTTAGGTAATTCTATTAAAAATTTATTTGATGTTTGAATTGTCATTTTCAGTATACGTATTCTATAATTTTTGTTTAGTTTTTTAAAGTGTTTTTTATAAACAAAAATGAAAAATTGTGGTAAAAGTTACGAAGAAATTCATGAAATTTAACTAAGAACCGGTTTATTCATCTTTAGTAAAGTTTATCGGGCCGATAACTTTCATGTCTTGGCAATAGCTAGTATCCAAAGAAATTATTCGTCAAATAAATCAAAAATGAATAAATCGGCCCTAAATAAAATGTGGCACCCTTAGAATTATTGTTTAATAAATGTATAATATACATTTAACCTTAAATTAAAACTTTAAACGTGTATTACAACAAAACAGTAAAAGATATAAAAAATGTATAGACCTTTTTTTAGGAAATTAACTAATCTTTAATCTGATTTAAAAAGTTATGATAATATTTAAATAAAATCGCAAGTTTTAATTGGAGAATTGAAAGAGTGCATAATATTTTTAATAAACATCCAATTAAAACAAAATTAACCGTCAATTTTTTTTTATTTTGCCCTTAAAATAAGTTATCACCTAATTAACAAGAATATAAAAAAAATTAGGTTTCACAGAAAGTCCAAAAATCACCTCTCAGAACAGCACCGTGTATAACGCTTTCTTTTTAAAACCTCGCTTGGTTTTAAAAAAGGGTGTACCAGCAACACGTGGACAACAGATGCAGGGGAAATGCTCTTGTACTTTGTAGTCTTTGTTTTCTATTACAATCCGGAAACAACTAATAGTAACCAGGTGTGTTGAATCTGTCTCCAGTGCAATATTTTACCACTTAAAGTTTATTCTGTAAGAGGAAACAAAATTTAGGGTTAAAACACGTTGATAAGCATAAGTTTTTTTTACTACCTAATTATTTTGAGTTAAAACAATAAATTAAATTTTGTTCTGTTTCAACAGAAAATGTTGTTAAAAAATTTAAAATTATAATAATAATATACTAGTACGTATATTATTATTATTATTTATATTCAGTAGTATAGCAGTTCAATTGGTAGATATTTAAATGATTTTTAAAAATAAATAAATAAACTTTGACATCTGTCAAATGGTTAACCTTACTTTTTACCAATTTTAAATATTATAGTCGCCTTCTCCCAATTTAAAACCCGATTGGTACAAATCACAGTGAATATTGAAATGGGCCAATCACTGAAGCCTAACAACGCAAATAATGAGTCCATTATTCCCGTTGATAGGTAGGGAATGTATAATATTTACCTATTATTCACGAAAAAAACTCAATGTTATGCAATAGGAATATATATTAGTATTCCGTCCCTAGCAGGATTTTAAGTTAAAATAACTATAGTTACAAATACGAAAAATTACCAAATATGGGGAATATTTTCATATGTTATTTTTACCACATAGCATCTACCCGATGACCAAAAGAACAAATTAAATACCAGATATTTACGTAAAATTTACGTTAAAATTACTTCATGTCTTTTTTCCCTTCTAAAACATATTAATTAATTAATTTTGTTTCGTCTTCGCGAAATGTTTAGTATTTGTTTAGTTTGATTACATTTATTTAAATATTATATTTAGCTTATTGCCCCCCAACGCGCATGTTTATCGCAACTATTTTTAATTACCCATTTAACCGCGTGAGGGCGTAAGTGTATTATTAATAAGAGTTCGAACCGGCAAGCATCCGCGCGTAAGAGTGATCTACCACGCGACATTATACCCGCTTTATCCCGCTTTATCCCGCTTGTGCATCTCAACCGCTTGAAACCAACGCTGACAGCCAGAAACCAGACCAGGGCCCTGAGTGTCGTCATCAGCACCAGCCACAAGGTAGGACTTTATTAATATTCTTACTGCCCACGTTTTATCTAGTCAAAGAATTCAGTCAACTAACACCACCATCCCCTATTTCTCACAGTTATACAGTCCACTGCCTACCAAATTTGTTATATTTTCTTTGTCTCTAAACGCAAATATCACACTCAAAATTTTTGGGATACGAATTTTCAATTGTTTTTATTAACTAAATAAAACCATGTTAAAAATACCTTGTTGAAATATCAAAAAATAGCAGTAAAATGTCACTATGTCAACACGAGAAACAAAAGAATTCACGTTTGCTGAGTCATGTCAAATTTAAATTTTGAATAATGTTTTTGGTAAAAAAATAAAGAATAAACATATTACAAAATAAAAGAACAAAATTAAATAAAAATTGTCAAAAAGATGAATTTTGGTCTTCCACTAAAAAATTCATAACTTCGCCATTTTATCATGTAATTTTATTAACATTGGCTTGTTTTTTTTTGTAAAAAAAATTCAAACTGGAATTATCTGTTTGATTAAAACCTTTCCCAGGACGATATGTAAATTTTCGACCTCAATTTTTGCCATAAAAACGATTTTTTTAAGTTATTAAAATCGCAAGCGTCAAAATACTTATCCGATATCAAAAGTATGTAAAAGAAAGTTTTAGAGGGCTCAAATACCTTCAATTTAAGGGCTTGTTTGACCAAATCGAACAATTAGATTTCAATCTATTCTAAAAAACGTCAAAACACCTCCGAAAATTGAAAAAAAAACAATTGAAAATTCATATTTCAAAAACGATTCCATAAAAAAAATTGAGTGTGATTTTCGTGTGTTTTTTCGATTTTTTAAATTAGTGTTTTTTCTAAAATATCTGTGGATATTATTATATAAATTTTTATTAAATAACATCTTTAAAAATTTATTATGGCGTCTTTTAAAAGTTTTACCAAAAAAGTTTTATATTTTAAGTTTTTTATAAAAATCATCAATAGTTTGTTGTAGGTTTTTTCGAGATAAACAACTTTATCTACTCCTATTGCATAACATTGTATTTTTTCGTATAGGTATAATATAATACATTATTATAATACACATTATAAATTTCCTGCCTAACAAACGAATTTTATCTCTTATAAGTCTTCTTATTGGTGTAGATAAAGTGTAGTATTACACTCTAGTTTAATAATATACTAATATTAAATTAATTTTTTTGTATATTTTTTTTATACGGTCCTGATCTTTCGCTATATGGGGTGTCGACAAAATTTATTCGCAGCGGAAAAGTAATAAATCGTCACCTGAGGGATAAATTTATTTTAATAGATTTGCTGATTACTTTAGTTGCCTAGTGGTACCATACCAGTTATACCTACAAGTAAATATGTATGCAAATATTGACATCCAGGTCACAATTTGAATAAGTAATGAATTGCATGATATTACTTATTAATTTTTGCAATTTATTCGCATATTTTATTGCAAATAGTTTATACTGGTGGTACCTTATGTTTATCATTTATGCCTTTTAACTGTTTTTAATGTTTTAATTTTTTGAAAAAAATATATATAAATTGTATGAAACGAAATTATTATTAATATTATATTTGTTGCTTATTTAAGATATGTATAATGAACAAACAATATTTGAACATTATTATAATATTTAAAAAAATGTATACATCAAACAAAAAAATAACAAACACAAACATTTAATTCTCAATTAAATGCTAACATGGACTCAACAGGTTAAATTAATTTAATTTTTATCCATTAGATCGCGTGTGCGGCGTATTCAAATTGCAAACTTTCCCATGTTCAAATAAAAACAATAACCAAGCGTGCACAAATTTAAAGAAGGAAAATCAAGGTCATCCATGATTATATACGTAAAGTCGATATTCATATAGATACATACCTAATGCATGTATAAGTAGATAGATACACTTCATACAGTTACGGTTCTGGTTTGGAGTTTGTAACATTAAATTTTTTTCTATGGCGATTCGAAGTAAGTAGACAAACGATCATTTAATTAGATAGTGATTATGCTAAGCTGAAAGGTCCTATCCACAACATTTAGTTATAAAGGACAAAAGATCATTTGTATTGTTTTTAGACCACCTAGGCCTATCTAGAGATAACTTCGTAACACCCTGTATGCAGACTTTATTGTGGACATCTTATATTAATAAAAAAATAATATCAATAACAAAAAAAGATTGCAATGTCATAGGTCAATGAAATGCATCTTAATGCAACCTAATTTAATTAAAGGGAAATATAATTCGATTGTAGCTGTCAACTACCTACTACCGTGTTTTATAAAACTTACTTTGCGTCTTCATTAAATAAAGTACATTGAAAAATACACATGTGAAGTGTTTATTAGCGTTAATTGTAAGTATACTTATAGAGGTATATTTATTTTTTAGTTTTTAGTTTTAATCTAAATTATACTTTTAAATTAGACACATAAATAATTTTCGAGGTGATAGTGTGGTGGCTTTTTGTTACTTATTCAACTTACATGTA